TCAGCATTATTCTGCAGTAATGTTCTCAAAACTAAGCCTTTGCAGTTTGATGTTTATGGCCAGGCTGCCTTAAGTGTTGGTGTGCTGCCAGGAAGGAATTTTTCAGCCCTGCTCCAAGTTGTGTATCCCTGCTGTCTCTCCTTCCCCTTTCACCTGGCAGTCACACTACTCAGTCTTCATGGTAGGATGGTTCAGGGAGATAAAGCAGCAGATTTACCCCATGGAAAGGTAATTAATTTTCTGCTGCATTTTACCTTTAGTTCTTGAGTGGAGTCCCTGGTGCTCCAAGAGCCAAGCGGTGTGCCATGGAGGATCAGATTAGCGCAGCCAAGGCAAGGAGGGAGGGAAATGACATCTGGCAAATGCTCACTTTTAAAACTGACTAGATGGCAACATGGAGCGGTGCCATCATCGATTTGCACTTCAAATCTGTACATGTATAAATTGGCAAAGAATTTCAATACTCTCAGACGTATGAACTCTGCCAGCAGCCTTGGTAACGATGAGTTAACTGTCAACCACGTCGGTGGTTTTGCAATCCGCACACTGACTAGAGGTTGTCACTGTCTTCTCTTACACAATTTATTCTGAATGAAGTTTTGCCTCAGTGCCACAAATAAATGATTGTTGGGTTGATAAAAAAACCACCAACAAACTACCCAAAAGCAGAGAAGCCCAAACTGAGCACAGGGCTCAATGAAGGGTGGAGGAAAGGCCATCCTCAAGGAGCTATGGAGAGCTTGGATGCTGTCCTTGGACACAGGCCACACACAATCTATTAAAATCTGTCTCTCATGTCAGTAACTCACATGGGCTGAGCATATTTGTGGGTGAGAATGCTATAAAGCCTTTTTGTGTTTTTGTGATTCAAGTAGTTAATAAGAGAAAAATGATACTATAAATAGGAACACCATAGTTGGTAAGGACTGGGGATACAAAAGGAGATATGCAGTCTCAGTTATGACAGGAGAGCAAAGAAAAAGCAAAGAAAACATCAACTGAAACCAGCAACTTCTGCAGAAGTGCTTAATCAAACATGAACTTTGTATACAACCCATTGACAGTGAATTTGCTCTCGCAAAGTGAACAGCTTGCGAGCGGGAGCGTGCCTTTTTTGGTCACGTTCTGCAAAGGGCTGAAAATATGTGCTTAGTAGGTGTTGTGGCTTTTTCCAGTATTGTGGGCCTTTCTGTGCATTAAAAACATTTTTGCCAGTGTTTATATATTACTCCTATCTTCCATCATGTGGAAACCTTCGTTGTTCCAATCCTGTCTTCTCCTGAAAACATTGCAACAGGATCAATCAAGGCTTTCTTAGGAGTGTGGCACCTATATCCAAGAATAAAGCATAATAAACAGGAGCTGGGAGAATGGATCAGTTCATTAAATCCAGCCAGGTGGTGTTGTGCTCTGATACAGACAGATAACGAGTTCAAAAGTGAGCCTGTCTGGAGTGGTTTTGTTCAGACTTGTGTGAAAGATAAAGTACTAAAATAAGAGGAATCCCTTTAATTTGCACTTGTGACAGGCAGCTTCCCCTTTATCACTGAAAAAGATGAACTATGCCTGTTTTGAGATATTAAAACCAGGCAATCAAGTGATTTTTTTTTTATTATTATTATTCACAATATTGAATTTCTAGCTACAATTCATTTTAGGCAGGAGGTGGCACAGACTAATAGATGGCCAGCATTTCTTTTTAACTGAAAGTCCTAAAGAAATTGTCTATATCAGGGCTTTAAACGTGTGCTCAGTTAGAAGCATTTTATATAGTTTCATAAGAATAATTGTAAGCTCACTGGTCTGTATTTGTGCAAGTTTTTAATGAAGTCCCTTGGGTTTAAGTTATTAGCTTTTAGCTGCACTTGCACAAATATCAGCCAACCCTCCTTGGCCTATTTTTTGCACATTTAAGTGACAGTTATAGGCTAAACCAAACATGTACTTGCCATACGTAGGTACAAAGGCTAGGACATGGTGCTGACAACACATTCTTACACTAGCAGTAAAGAACAATTAAACATGCAAAGTAATACAGACCTCCTTGCTTTAAAAGAACATCTAAACTCTCATGCAAAAAAACCAGCTATTTTTGGCACCCAAATCAGGTTTCTTGTTTGTCAGTCTAAGCTTTTAGGTTTTTTTTTTTTTGTTTGTTTGTTTTGTTTTTTTGTTTTTTGGGTTTTTTTTTTAAAAAAAAAAGACCTATGAAAAAACAGCTTGTGTTTTCTTCTGATTTCTAATATTTACATGTTTATAAAAATCCAAATAAGCATGCACAACACCTCTTCGTTGCAGATAAAAGTGTAAATAAATGCAGCAGTGTAGCTTTCTGCTGAGAAGGGGTTAGGCATACCAGGTTGCTTTTCCCCTTGAGAAAGAGCAAGCAATTTAGAATCTCTGCACACTGTTTTTACACTGACCCTTCTCCTGGAGCAGAGGTGGCCAAAAACAGCATGCAGAGGGATGACTGCATGCATATGTGTTCAGCTGAAGGATTTTCACTGCACATTTCAAGGTTAGAGAACTTGGATTAACTGGTGAACAAAAGGAGTGAAACAGAATAAAATACAATTATTTCTCTATGCTAATCTTCTAGCCACTCATTACATCAAGGCAATGAATGATAATTGCTGGTAAAGAACTGTTATGTAGAATATTTTTCCTCAAAAAGAAAAACCAAATAAACTTACTGAAAATTCAGGTGTTATTTGTGTGTGTGTGGGGGTGGGGGGGGGGAAACTTCTTTCTTGAGTCTTTACTTTCTACAGACCCTACATGGGTGTACATAAATACGCAAAGTAATCATCATTATATTTTTACAGTGGAAACAAAAAAAAAAAAAAAAAAAAGACAAACTAATCATGAAAGATATGACTGAGCACAGAAAAAAGAACTTCAACTGACATATTCAAGCTCTAATTTATAAGAGAGAAGAAATACTCTTTCAATCCAGATTCACAATTTATGGTTTTAGAAACTGTAATGTTTCAAAAATGATCACTACTACTCTTACAGAAGGATGGTATACTAAAAAAAATGCTCTTATTTATACACTCTTTCCAAAGTGAAAATCCAGAAGGCAATATGAAGGGCCGCTGTTACATGATTAAGTGATTTCCACTCCCTTCTCTGTGTGAGAGAGAACAGGCAATCCCTGACAGATGCCTGAAAATCTACCAAATAGATGTACTGAATCATGGTCAAGCGCCTGTCCTAGAGCACGCCTTGAAACAGAAGGATCAATTGTTCCAAAGCCATAAAGGTGTTAGAAATTCAAACACAACGTCCTTCAATAATAATATGCCGCCCAGCAATTATTAACAAAAATACTGTGTTTAGGTTTTCCAGTAAAGTCCTTAATAATTATGATGATCACAAAACGTAATTCCATTTAAACAATCTAATTTGTGCCAAAGAAATAACTACTTCAAAGCCTCTACTAGATGGTGAAGTATGCATTTTTTACACCAAATGTCTAAAAAGAAAATATCTTTTTGGTTATAACCACCTGAAGAACATCTGGATGCAGTCCAGGCTCCAGCATCTTTTCAGTTTCAAGATTGTTGAACATGTCTATTGAGTTATTTGAAAGAAAGTTAAGCAATAAACCCCACACTTTTCACTTTAAATTAAGGTTGTGTTTTGTCTTGGACAACACCTTAAAATTCTAGAAAATAATTTTGAAATGTTGTCTTCAAAAATAAATACGAATTTTTTTTGACAAATGAAGGTTCTTCAAACCTCAGAGCTCTTCCTTTTGCAGAGGCAGTAAATTCCTTCACAAAAAAAAAAAAAAAAAAAAAAAAAAAAGGCAGTTCCTGTAAAATTTTCACTATTCATATAAAAAAAAAAAAAAAAAAAAAAAAAAGGGCAGTTCCTGTAAAATTTTCTCTATTCATATAAGAAAATCCATAGGGGTAAGCTAATTCAGAAAGGAACCTTATTAGCTATTATGAAAAATGAAATAAATCAACCATGCAATCTGGACAAAGCTTGAAAGTACTTCTTGAAATTGATCTGGCTTTTGTGCTGGCTTTGGTTTGCTGGCTTCTTTTCCTGAAAGCGACTTTTATTGCTTTTAGTAATGGTGGTGATTTTAAGTGTGTGCCATTAGGCCAGTCAGTTTCTAGACTTAATTTTCACTGTTTACAATCAGCTGATAAGAGATTTCACGAACCATCACAAAGTGATTCTGAAAACGTCAGTTTCCATCATGCTGCATGGGGCACAGCTAGGTCCCATCCAGTGAAAGAAAGGTATCAGCCATTGTGGGCATCTCAGGGTCAGAGAGATTGGTCTCTATCAGGACCAAAACGATCTGTCATTCACAAAAAATTAAAGATCATCTCAGGGGTGGAGGGTGATTTTGCCGAATCAGGTTTCAAACAGGTGTTCCAAGCGCGTCCTGTGGGGTACCTGATAGCACGACTGAGATTGTGCAGACACAGGTTATATAAAATTCGACAGTGGGCTTCATCTTTCTCATCCCTTGTTGATATATGCACAGATATATCCAAGAACAGGCAAAAACCCCTATCAACACGAGAGACCTACGGACCTTTGTCCAAGAGCCGCTTTGCTCACTAAAACCGCAGGTCTCAGCCGAGGCGCGCTGAGCCAGGCGATGCCGTGCGGCCGGGGTCGAGACGCCCGGCAGGGCTGAAGGGCAAAGCAGGGCCTGACCGCACCCCTGCACCCCGGTCCGCAGCCCCAACAGCCCCAACTTTGCTGCTCGCCGCTCGGCCGCCTTCGGGCTGGGCCGGCGCGGATCCCGATCCCGGTGCCGGTGCCGGTGCCGCCCCCGCCCGGCGCTGCCGGAGGGAGATGCTCGCTGTCACTTTCCCTCTTCCCCACGCACCGCCCCCTGCCCTCCCCCGCGCCCGCCGCCGGCGCTGCCCCGTCCCCGGCGCCGAGCGCTCCCCGCCGGCAGCAGGCAGGGCAGGGCGGAGCAGAGCAGAGCAGAGCAGAGCGGAGCGGAGCGGAGCGGAGCCGGGCTGGGCAGGGCAGGGCAAGGCCGCCCGCCCGCTCCTCGGCATGGCCGGGCGCTGAGCGGCGCCCGCCGCCCCGGCTCGGCTCGGCTCGGCTCGGCTCGGCTCGGCTCAGCACGGCTCTGTCCCGCCGAGAGGCTCGGCGCCCAGCCACCCTCTCTCCTCGCCAATGGTCCAGAGCGACATGTCCAAATCTCCTCCCAGCCCGGCGCAGGAGGTGCAGATGGAGCTGCTGGACAACCCCCTGCCCGCGGCGGCGGCAGCGCAGGTACCGCGGGCTCGGCCGGGGCTGCGGGGCGGGGGCGCGGGGCCGCCGGAGCTGCCCGTCCTTCAACTTTGGTCACCGCCGTCAGAAAAGTTTGACAGCTCCCCTAAGACGCCCGAAATCCCTGTCTTCGCCCCCACCCTCAAATGCCGTTTAATTAACATCCATGGGATGCTCTGGGCCGTAGAAGCATCGTAAATCAAAAGAACCTTGCGATTATTTGGAGGATGAATATGTAAGAATACGTTGCTATTAAGCTGATCTTCCACACATGTATTACTCGCAGGGTCCGGCTGTTTTTCCCTGCTCCAGTAACCTGTTGTATCTGTACCTGATGCTTACCACGCACGGCTGAAACCTGCCTTGTCTGTTCCACGGGCTGGTGACAGTCTGTAGGTGAGGGAAGGCGATTCATGCCAGTTGTTCAGCAAGAATTTTGGGGAGGCTGAAGGTGTTGAACATGCTGAAGATTTAAGCTGCTCCATTTTCATGCAGAAGGTGGTTGTACAGTCGTCTCAGAAATTTTAAGAACTCAGTTCATGTGCAGTGTTCGGGCGGATGGGTGATGAGAAGGAGGCAGGGTAAGGCATACTTAGAAAAGATTTCATATTTTGAAAGGTTGTTTCTGTTGCATGTATGAATGTTACTTAATATCTTCAAGTTTGCAATAGTTGGCTACAAACACTTCGGAGTGCTGGTTTCGAACCCAGTAAAAGGATGGTAAAATCTGATTGTGTGCATTTCAGATTACAAACGTGCATGATCTTGTTAGGACAGAGGTTTTTCCTTTTGGGGTGCAGTTTTTACTGTTGCTGCCAAAGCTGTCTCTGGTGCTCTGTTTGAGAAGGTGGACCAGCTCCATCCTAGAAGTGCTTGATTGACAGAGAAAAATGCTGTCAGTCTGTCAACAGTCTTGGTGATTGATCTTTACTTACTCAGGCCCTGTGACAGCAGAACAAAATCCAGGCACTGAAGCAGAGACTAGGTTAAACTAAAAAAGAGAAAGTGTCTCTTTGGATGTCAAAGCCTCCAAGCACAGAACAGACATTTCAGTAGGGCCATATGCTTTGCCAGCTTCTCCAGAAACAGTGGCAATGGAGCTAATTTCTGACCTACAAATCCCCCACTTTTTACATCTTTTCAGCCCGAAGCACAGATTTAGCAACTGTCAAATCATATGGTACATCTCTGTTGTGGACAAATATCAAATACTGATCATAAAATTGATTTCTCAATCCTCCTTTTTACTAGGGTTAAGAACCTCTGTTTAGAGAGGAAGAATAGTTTCCTAAAACCCACATTATTTATGTTTCAGGTTATGCATTATATTCTATTTTATAAAACAGGTTTCTGAACATTCACAGCCAAAAAGATTCACTTTTTAAGGCAGTGATAATGCACCTTTTTGGTTCAGAGATGTTTTTCAGTTTTTGGAATCAAAGTCATTAGGCAGAACAGGAATCATCTTCTCAATATGTACTTGTTTTAGTCATATATAAACCTTTGGTAGAGAGGAAATAAGGTTATGGAAACAAAAGAGCCCTTTGTCTGAATAATATTGCAGGTTAATTCCTTAGCAAGCACTGCTTTTAGAGACAACTATTTTGATTTGAATTTTTGTTCCATGAACATTTAAAAAACCCAATATTGTAAAATCTTGGTGCTTTAGAACACACAATGAGAAGGAGAGGCTTAATGAGGACATGGGAATCATCAAGTAGATTGCCTACAGGTACTTCAGTTATTTGTGCCACTGTCTTTTTCTCTAAGGTAGTTGAATATCAATCCTAGAAACATTTCTACCAAATAATCTGTCAGGAAAAAAAAAAGACCCCAAACCAACATGTGAGTTTATGGCATGATGTCACTCCTAAAATTGTTCACTCTGAAGTGCTTCTTCTGGAAATTATGATTTAAGGAAATATTACTGAAGAGCCTTTGTAGAGTTGTACGAAGTCATAACAATTGTCTTATGCAAGAATTTTACTTCTGTAAAGCTGAGATTTCTTTTAATCTATGTTAACATCATGGTCAATATTTTGGATTTTGCCTGTCCATTTGGATTGTGCCTTTTGCATTTCGGCCAAACTTGTCACCATGGGGCAGAGGAGTGAAATGTAGTTAACACTCTAGAAATAGTTCACTTAAAAGGCAGTTAAATATGTGAAATATTCCTAGATAACATCTGTGTAAAATCTATTTCTTATTTTCATAATGCATTTTCCTAGCAAGATCTAGATCTAAACAAAAAATCTCTTTGGATGTTGATCGTGACAGTTATACTGTATTTTTCCAGGGAAGTTCTTTGCAACTGGGACAAGATATTGGTGTTTTTTTCTGTATTACCTAAAATTCTGTGGCTTTTAGGTCCATATGACTGTAAAAATATAGTTCTATTTATAGTTCAGTGTGATCTTAGTCTCAGATGGATCTTGGTCTTAGATGGAGTCGCAGTAGAGTTTCAGATGTCCAGTTTTATCTAAAAAAATCTGCATGCTGATAGTTACACTGTGGACTTATTCACAATGTCCAGGTGTATGTCAGTGCAAAGTGGTGGTTTTAGGTGTGGCCCTTTTGTAATGAAATCAGCATTAGGTTTTCTGAAAGAAAAGAAGCAAACTGTTCAAATGTATCAGTGTTTGGTGATCGGTTTTTTGGTGTATTTTTAAATTGAAATCAACTCCATTCTTCTCTTTACTTCCTTATTTAATGAACCCCTTTGTTTTTTAGGAATCTGAATTAGTAGAATATTCATTTTAATAATTTTAATTAACCCAGGTACTATTATGAATTGTTTATAATATATCATAGCACATTAATGCCTTTCATCATAACTCTTAGCCTCTCTTCCTTTTCCCCCTTGCTCCCATGTAATTTTCTTATGATCCTTCTTCAAAGTCTCTCAGTCCTCAAAAATCATTAGATTCAATTTCTGTTGCTGTTTTCTCATCACAAAGCTTCCTGTGCTGTGCATTAGGGACAGTCATAGCAAATCAGATGAGTAAATTACACGAAGACATTTCAAACAAAACATAATGAAACCTTCTATCAAGCAACTACAGACTACCTTGTGGAGGGATGAATCTTACACTGGATGAATTCTTCCCTATTCCTCATTATTATTTTCCTCATGTTCTTCTTTTTTGCCTGCTTATTCATCATCTGTCAGTGCACGTCCTAACAACCTGACACATTTTATGTGGAAACAATTCTCTTCTCGATTGTTTTCTTCAGCTCTTTCACCTGCATTTAGATTTCCTCTGCTACATGGTACTGCTAAATGCTTCTGCCTTCCAAGTCTAAAGGCTTCATCATCCCTGGAGTGCTTGGCTTGTTTTTCAGGTTGCATTGCAAGAGGTAAACTGGATGCATGAGTCTAGAGGACAGACTTGTTCAGTTTTCCTTCTGTATCAACTATGATTGATGTTAAGGTGAATTTTAGGGTGATGTGCATGTGCTGACTCCAGAAAATCAGCTTAGTTACAGGCCCTTACACTGGCTGTTGTCCTTCCTGAATCTCCAGCTACCTTCTCAGTTGTATAGCACCATCCCTTCACTGCCTGTCTTGTGGTAATGAGGAATGGAACAATATCCAGAGATTTACTCTCAGCAGATTAATCACACTGCCCTCTGCTGCTTTCAGCCGAGTTGATTTATCCCAGTTCATACCATGTTTACCTGTTCTTCAAACAAACATTTTGCACCCGTGTATTTCCCAGTACTGACTTGCAAGAATACTTTGTAAGCCATAAACAAACAAAATGTATATCCCTTTGCTTACTTAAATAATAACCATACCCATTTTTTATAGAGGTGTGGAAGGTTTTACTCTCTTCTGGCAGCATCCCTAGAGGCCAGATCCAATGTGGCAGCAATTCGGTGGAGGATATACAAATGAAGAAGAGATAAAATCCAATTCCATTCATTGGACTTCCTCATGGCCCTCAGCAAGAGGTAGTGTTTTCTGTCCTGAAGTGGTAATCTCCCTTCAGTGTTGTATTCCGTACTGACAAAAATAAATTTTAATAGTCCTTCACTGCAGAAAGCCCTTCAGGTTTCAGCTATTACTTTTCTGATAATTCTCTGTTCTTTGGGGGTTTTTTTGCATTATCCTGTACTCAAGCAATAAAAGATGATTTTGCATGCTCATCTCTTCCAGAGATATTTTCCATTTGGGTATTACACATTATCAGCATAAATGGGATATAATAGTTGTTCTTTACATTATCCTAGAGTGTAAAATCACTCCAAAACAGTTCAGCAGTTTCAGTTCTAACTTACATATATCAGGTAACTATCTTCTAGAGGCAGTGTCTTTTGTCTTGTTTTGTCTCTATGGATGAAAAGTTCCTGTACTATTACAAGGCTGGCTTTCCTGGAGTCTCAGTTACTTTTCTTCTGCTATTTTTACTCATGTCTTTACTGTGCTGCGATAGAAGAGTTTAAAAATCAAGGAACAAAAATTGCCTTCCTTGCCCTCCAAGGGGTTGCCTTGGTCTCTGTCCTCAGGGTAGCAAACCCTTAGCAGAGGGAAACTGTCTCATAGTTGGCTGTTGGTCCCTGCGGGCATCCTTCTGTCACAGATCTCTTTCTGCTTGCTTGTGCAAGTGAAATACAGAAATCCGTGGAGAGCGGGTGGGGAGGTAGAGGCACGTGGCCTGCAGCTGTGGTTGCCAGTTTTAAAAGGCTGCAGGAGGCACAGTGGGGTTTGGGCATGAGCTTCAGCACCTCCTGCTGCTGGGCGCTCCTGTTTTGCTGAGGGGGGAGCTGACATCTTCATCGCTGGTATCACAAGTAGATGTGCAGCAGGTTTGCACCGAGGTGGGTTTCCAAGCCACTGGGGATGAGGAGAGCCTGCCAAATTCCCAGCTTCTTGTCTGGCAGGTGGAGACCGCCAGATGACCTGGTCTGAGGCCAGGGTGGGAGCACTGGGAGATGGCTTACAAGTGTAGGAACTGGCAAGAATAGGGCTGTTTCTAGATGCAGTGCTGGCAAGGCTTTAT